TGGCAAGCGGTTTGGGGTTGAATCGCTTGCCAATTTAACTAATGGTAGTCGGTTCAACCCCAAACCGCTTGCCATTAGTTAAATTGCAAGTGGCTCGCATAATACCGCTTGCCAATTCATTTCTCAATTTTTTTTAAAAAAATTAAGTAAATGGAAAGCAGATTATGTAAACCGCTTGCCAATTATAGCTTCCAATCACATTTATTCTACTAGTGCATAATTTCTCAAAAAGAAAATATATATTATAGCAATACATATTAAGTTCATCCACACACACACACCACATAGCCAATCATAACAGTTAGAGAGTGAGATAAAAAGAAAATATAGAATATTAATTTAAAACACACACACACAGTTGCTGGAATATGGTGCCTAATTAAGCATAAATTAACAACAAAATGACATGATTTTAAGGTCTTACATTGGAGGCATAGTTCTAATGGTTTTAGTGTTCTACATTTCACATGTATAAGAACAAAATTAGCACCAAAATACTACTAGTCTACCCCTTTTAAAGATCCACTAAAAGAGTTAAATAAATCTTAATAGTATCCGAGATAGACAGATTACATATAATAATATCTTTCAATGAACCCTAAAGCTTGCAAATTTTCGAACTGTAAAGAGAATATATCCCGTTGAAGAACTTGGAAAGAGCCTACTTTGATGTTCAATAAAGAACTTTGAATATATTTAAGTTTCTTGAAGACGTTAAACTATTGATTCCATGAATTTGAGGTCTTCTTGAAGGAAGTTTCGTGGATTAGTACTTTTATTGAATTTTGTCTTCTACTCACTTACAATTTTATCAAAACCTGTGTTACATAAGATTAACAAATAATATTTTAGAGTCCTAATAGACTTAACACCAAACCCATCTGCTATGTCTTGTGGTAAAGGACAAATCTTCTTCTTACTCAATAATTAAACAATCCGTGCCTTGCATAATTGTTTAAACTTTAAAATGAACCCCTCAACTTGGCTATCACCAGCAACACCTCTAGACAGATAAACAACAATAGCTAATAAAGAAGGAAGAATATCATCGCTGCATTTTTCATTGTCCAAAATATCACCGACTTCCTTAATCATCATATCTAAAATTGAAAAAACACATGTCATCATACACCAGTCAATCTTCAAGCATATCATTTTGATACAATAAGTTTCCGACAGATTTACATCAAACATCAAACACTTGATCATCATCCTCATTCGTGTCAACAAAACCATGATTGTTACACACACACATATATATATATATATATATATATATATATATATATATATATATATATATATATATATATATATATATATATATAGTACGGTCCGTACGCCGTTTTCTTCTCTACTATGACGTCACCTTGTTAAGAGCTCGGTAGTCTACACACAACCGCGAGCTCCCGTCTAATAGTATATATATATATATATATATATATATATATATATATATAGTACGGTCCGTACGCCGTTTTCTTCTCTACTATGACGTCACCTTGTTAAGAGCTCGGTAATCTACACACAACCGCGAGCTCCCGTCTAATAGTACATGTACATATATATATATATATGTATATATGTACATATATATATATGTGTATATTACATATATATATATATATATGTACACATATATATATATATTTATGTACACATATATATATGTACACATATATATATATAGTTTCATGTCATTTATTAATTTACGAATAATTTATATATAATTTGTTAATAATTATATGTTGTTTGATTTTTATTGTTATTGCTTGATCACGTTACTTTTTTTCGCAACATTGACATAACGGTGAGATTCAAATGCATAATCACATGCTCCAAAATTACTCTTAATTAGACGCCCAAATACCAAAATTCAATACCCCCTATTTTCAAGGTATCAAATTCCAAAATTTCCATCATTTCTTTGAATGCCCAAAATTTAAAAGAAATGGCGACAAAGCAAATAAGTTGAAAGTGATAATAATTTGAGAAAACAATTTATTCTTATTCCTAAATTTTGTGGGTATTATATAATTTGAGAAAACAATTTATTCTTATTCCTAAATTTTGTGGGTATTATATATACATATATATATATATATATATATATATATGATAAAATTAGGGTTTTCTCGTAGAATAATAACCTTAGTATATCAAGAATATCCTAGAATCATCATAAGGGTATAATAGGCATTCACTAAATACATATATTATATAACTAGGGGTGAAAGTTCGGTATTCGGTTTGGATTTTACTCCAAACCGAATCCAAACCGAATTATTTCGGTTTCAGATTTTTGAAACCGAATCCAAACCGAATTTGGATTCAATCCAATCCAATCCAAACCGAAATAATTCGGTTTTGAAAAATGAATCCAATCCAAACCGAATTTTTTTGGGCTGTCATTTTGGGCCTTAAATTTGGGCTTTTATTTGGGCCTATTGTTTTAGTCATTTTAAAGGCCTAAATTTTGTACGTTTCCTGAACAAATTTTTAAGAAAAAACTAAAGTCTTTAAGACTAATATTTGTCACATTAAGTAATAGCATAATTATTAAAAAAAAAACATTCCAGCCATTAGAATAAAATTACAGACATAATAGAAATCTTAAAAATGAAATAACAGTCCAACAGCAGCAAACTTAATTCAATTGGCAGCAGCATAATGAAACAATGACAGTAGCTTAATTGGCTGGCAGCTTCAACTCTTCAACCGTTCAATCAAGCTCAACCAAGTCTTGGTTATTTTGACCACCACCAATTGTGTCAAATTTCTCAACTAACAACAAAAACAAAAAAAACAAGTTACATAATATATATGAAATATTGAAAAAAAATATCATATTATAATTGTTGTTATTAAAACATATCAAACAGAGGCTATGGGTGAACATCAATTATCACCAAACAATCAATCTATCACCAATTCGAACATCAAATATCACCAAATGATCAATCTATCACCAATTAGAAGTTTTTGAACAAAATAAAGGAAATCTAGGGACAATTGGACAAAGGAAAATTCACCAATTCGAACTATAAAACATCAAATTCACCAATTCACAAAGGAATATTACCATTTCGAACATAACAAAACATCAAATTCGCAAAATCGAAGAGAAGCAGGAAAAGAGAAGTGAAATCTGAAAAGAGAAGGTATTCTTACCTTTGACTGAATCAGAACGTGGTGGTGACTGGTGAGCGTTGAGCGGCGGTGAGATACCGAAGTACCGGACTGGTGGTGGACGGACGGAGTGAGGTGGTGAGGGAGAGAAGAGGGAAAATCTAGGGTTTTGGTGAAGGAAAGTGAAACTGTGAAAGGGAAATGGGAAAAGAGGGGACGAAAAGATCTAGGGTTTTGGATATATATATGTCATAAAATGGGCTAGTTCGGTGTTCGGTTTTCGGTTTTTCGAATTCCAAAACCGAATCCACACCGAAATATTTCGGTTTCTATTTTTTCAAACCGATCCAATCCGAAAACCGAAAAAACCGAACCAAATTGCTTATTCGGTTTGGATTGGTTCGGTTTTCGGTTTTTATCCAAATTACTTTCACCCCTATATATAACACTCCCCCTTAGATGACATTATCGAATAGTGTGCGTCGTTAAAACCTTACTAGGAAAAACCTGATGGGATAAAGCACTAATGAAGGAAAAAGAGTACAACACTTTCGTAATACGCCTTACATGTTTCCTCGTTAAAAACTTACCAGGAAAATCCAATGTAGGACAAAATAATGGTTAAAGGAAAAAGAGTGCAACGCATATCTTCTCCCCCGGATGAATGCATAACTTGAGATCTTCTATTGTAATGAGTTTAATGCGTTCGTAACTTCACACTTGTAACTTAATAGCATTCCTTGATAGTTGATCATCTTTGATCAAACTTGAATTTTTAAATCTTCACTGTAAGGCATATTCATTTACCCATGCATACTTGAGAAAACAATTCTTATGTTGCGTTTAGCAATATGTTATATGACAATTTTGTTTCAAGTTGCCTTACCATTAAAATTATGCCTATTTTTGGAGGTCGTAAAAGTAGCTATTGATAATATTGATAATAATTTATGGCAACTTGCGATATCTTGATATCATTATCTAAGCTTATATGAATTAGTAATAATACTTGTATAACATAAGTAATTATTATATACTTTACTCATGGTTCTTTTGGACCATAAGAAGATCATTCTTACGGTAATATATCTCATTACTATTCTTCTTTAGACATTTTGCATTTTAGAGAGTTTTCCAATGAATACAAAAATCGATTAACTCTCACTTGGTTAAACTTCAGGTTGAAATAATCTCAATAACTTAATCACAAATACTCTCCATGAGTTTGATAACAATATTAACATTGTCCTTTTTCATAATATAGAATTTGAATGGCTAGATATTTGAATACGTTGTATGTAAGTTTTTCGGGAACTTTTCATGCATGATTCATAACATGCTATTGAATCATTATCATATAAACTTTCATCACAATTATAAGCCTATCGGAGTTAAATTTTTTATTGTAAGCCTTCATCATAATTACAAACTGTTCATAACACAAACATTCACATATAACACAATTGTTGTACTGTACAGAACTAAAGCATGCAATATGAGATGTAGAATTCATGATAAAATATTAAACAAAATATATATGTCACGAATAATAGATCAAATTACATCCTATACACACAATGAGTAATTCATAAATCTAAAACTCATACATGCACATAAATAAAAGACTAAAAAATACAAACACTGTACAGTGTGGATTTCAGAAATCCATTTTCTTATTGGAATACTAGTCCATGATAAACTTTTTATTTATTATCTTAGTTTTAGGTCGACATCAAAATGGACATATATTTTGATCCCTTATTCACAAGTTCTTTCCTTTTGCATATGCATATTATCTACCGATTCCATCATATATCGATATCATTTAATTCCTCAAGATACAATTTAATTTGCATGATATTTTGACAATATATCTGAATACATTTCTTATTGGTACCGTCATAAGTTTTTCTTACATCATAGGCTATCTATTGTAATAATTCAGATATCTATACCCCTTTTGGGGTATTTCAATACTATGGTATTTATATATTATTACACTATTGAATGTGTTAACTGTACTATCTTGAAATATTTCATGCATATCTTTATTTTTAACATATCTTAATTCTCAACGGTATTATATCTTAATTCTCAAGGGTATTTATATCACTACATCACATGTATCATGTATGTATTCACTCACAAAGATGGGCTCCATATTGAGGATTCAAAGCAGGAGACTTTTCGTCTCTTGTTAGGTAAAGTTGAAGTTGGCAAGATCTCTTCTGATGCAGAAAGCTCCTGGAGTACAGAACACAGGGCTTCGTGTATACACTTTGCGAATTTGTCTGTTTTGTCATCACCATTGTCATCTTTGTAGCCAGTGACAATAAGAACATTCTTTACCCTACCCTCTAAGGTAGAAATCTCTGCCTTGGCTATAGTGAGTTCAAGGTCACTGATGGCTTTCCTCGTATATGGGATGAGTTCTGGCTTGTAACGACAGCATACTGAAACCCTGAATGCGAAAGTGCCATCTGCTATGTCTTCGTCATTGTATGGCTCAACTACAACTTCATCAGCATCTGTTGGTACGAGCAGCCCCTTAGAAGCCTCATATGCTTGCTTCTTTAGCACTCTGACTTGGGAAATTACTTCAGCTAGCAGTGTTGCTTTGTCAATCTGAAGGGTCATATATTGATGCAAAATTAATACTCATCTCAAAATCACAGAACATTATAATGTTCATTCATACTTAAAAGCAAGATAGCCACCAAGAAGACGAGCATATAGATATTACTCCGTATTCAACAAGTCTTGTATGCGTTATGCAACGAGTGAATTTTTATACAACAGGCTCAATCATCTACAATAATGCCTGTATGCTACAAGTTGGTCTTATAACTCTTGTCTGAGCCGTACAATGTTCTGAAAGCAGTAAGAAACTAAAGTTTTGCAAAACTTCCTACCATGAGAATACAATGCAAACAAGGCACCAAATAAATGTGCTTTTAAATTTATCACCCTGTTTAATTACAGGGGTTAGTAATCTTAGCATGTCAATCTATCTAATCAAATCAGCCAGTTTGTATTTAGTTTCAGACATTCAAAGGACTCTCAAGCCTCAATCCATCCATGTAAACTTAAAACAAAGCCCGAGACAACCTGTTCAACAGCTTTATATATTCTAAGAGATGGCAGTGAAAGCCATCAAAATCTAGCGGCTTCAAGTTTTCACCAATACATCATCTCCAAATATCATATTTCCAAATAATAATGAAGATTCGCCGATGGAAAAAGTCTACATGAGTAGTACAAGCATATTGATGCACTGGAAAGCACATATTTGAATAAACAAATAAGGTAAGACATAAAATTCTGTTTCACTTGCCAAGTCTCTTGAATCTTGATGCTTACATCAGGAATAAATTTTTCAAACACTAGAAAACATGATTTGGTAGTCTGCAGGCGTATAATTTAATGCCAAAAAGGTTCAATTACTTCAATAAGCTAAAGAATTCTCAGAATATTCATTAGTCCTTAGTTAAACCTTGAGATTGGACCACTAAAATGTCTATACACGAAGCCGCCCATTAACGACGTCGATTACAGGTACAGCACAGCCACTATTTTGCCTTTTTAAAATGAATGGTTTACATCATTAATTATTGTAAAAGCAACTTCATGTCAATGGAAGGAATAGTCAAGCATCACTGAAAATAACATAAAAAAATATTTGTGGAAAATGGAGGCAAAATTTTTCAGAAGGAATCACAAGCTAATTGGCAATTATTCAATTGATAATCACCAAACAAGAATAAGGTAAAGAAGTTAAACACAGAGACGAATCAGTGGAGAACATTGATCTTAGAGATCTTCATCTAAGGTAACGAAGTAAATTGATCTCAGAGCTAGACTTCCTTAGCAAAAAACTATGATCTGAAATCTGAATGTGCTGCTAATCACAAATCGCGGCATTATGCTGCAGTCTGAAGTCTAGATTTCATAAAAACAGTACCAAGAAAATAATTTTAAGCTAAAGGGTGTTACAGAAAATATGATCAAGAAAAAATGGATTTATTTGCAGGAAACACACCAACAGATAACCATTTTTATTATTTCTCAACTATCTAGTACGCTATCAACAAAGCCTTCCGATTTTACAAGTAGGGGGAAGGAGAGATCATCTCATACCTTATCATTTGAAGGAAGGAAATTCCGAAGTGTAGCAAAATGACCATTGATTCTCTCCCTTCTTCGCCTCTCAGCCTCACAATGGTTCCTCAGAGCAATTGAATTCTTCCTCTCCGAGGTAACTTTTTTGCCAAAGCTATCCGGATTCTTAACAACCTCATCCATCTTACTGTCAGAAAGTGGTGACTCTCCTACCCATCCTAATGATTTACAATGTAACTCCAGATTATTGGGCATAAACAAGCCAAAATCAGGAAACTCTTGACTTTGTACTAGAAAACTCGAATCCATTGCACCAAAAAAATGAATGAGAATGTAAAGAATTAAAAAACGAAATACACAACTTAATAATCTATAAAAGAACTAAGGATCGAAGATCTTTCTAAGAGACGGCTTTTGGAAGCTTAATGTTTTGGCAGTTTAGATGATCAGAGACAGATTAACAAGGGAACAATGATTATTTCTCCTTGGTGGTGTTTATTTCTTGTACTCGAAGCCGTTGTATACGATTAAACTCAGGATTCAAGGAATATTCAATTGGTTAGAGATTCTGAATAGCAATGTTTTGATTGAAGAGACAACAGATTCTAGAACTTGCAGAAATCCTGAATACCAGTATTATAGTATCATTGTATATAACTTAATTAATTGTTTAAACTTTCAAAGAAAAGTTTATTATACCCCTTAATTAAACTATATAATACTTATAAATGGGCCAAGTTGAACATATAATAAACCTATTTACTCATCAGTCAACAATAAGACAGATTAGTGAGGTTGAGTAACATGATTAAAGAAACAAACAACACGACATCAACTCTAAACATCAGAAGTTATTTTAATCATGCTGATAACATACATAAACTATCACTCTGTCTTCTATATATGACTAAAAATAAGTATATAAAACAAAGGAATATGACCAAGAAAAAACAAAAGGTTGCTCTTTTAGACAATTAAAAATCCCAAATCAGCTAATTAATGTCAATGAAGTTAAGTTTTGACCAATGCCTCAATTGTGACTAGTAGTATCTAGGGACTAAGAGTAGTCACCAACAAAGCCGATTTTGAAAAAATCTAAATCAGATTGGCTACATGTTCAGCTCAACTTAGTTCTTTTTATGAACAAGCCAGGTTCAAATTCAATATTGCTGTTTTAATAATCAATAAGCTAATGTAATGAGATTCTCAGCATGGCCTGCCTGCTTGTCTGAGTTAAAAACACCAGAACATTGATGTTGAGTGGAGGTCGGGCTCACGAGCCAAGCCTGAGCTAATAAACCGAGACATTAATTTAAATTAAGCCGAGACATGTTGAAAGAGGATGCCCCAATTTCTCATGGTTTGTTTCTAACATGGCATTTTCGTAAATAAACCAACAACTTTATTCAACTTTGGAGCCCGCAATAATGAAAAAGTTGTTGATTTATTCACGAAAATGCCCCCATGAGAAAAATTTCGTTTTTCACCATGAGAAATAGGAAATTTCCCATGTTGAAATACGGCTTTGCTAGGATCGTGGTCTAGTGGCTAGCCTAAATGGGCAAATTGTCCAACTTCCAGTTGCCAAGAAATAGATGTTAACACAATTCATTAAAGTTATTGGACCCTATACAACTAATCAAAAGGAAATAACTTTTTTCTCATAGCCTAGTTTTAATGGGAAAAAAAAATAAAAATAAAAATACTTTATGATTAGGAAATAGCTATAAGCTAACAGTATATGCACTCCTTGTATTCCCTCTATTTTATTTAATTTACTCATTCACTTTTCACTATTCAAATAATCTACTTTGAGTTTTAGACACATATGAGTGATTTACACATAATAAAAAACAGTCAAGATCAATCTTGATACAATGGTCTCAATGTCAAGTTTATAAAAATATAAAATTAAACTGTGATAACTAAATATATTTAAGGTCAAATTTTTAAATTAGCAAGAGATGGATTTAATGGAATAATACCATTGTTAACACAATTCATTAAAGTTAAGTGTGAAGAGCCGGAAGAAATAATACCTCTGCTACGCTCCAAGCCACAAGATCAGACGATTTTTGAGATTTTTTCTGGCTAATTCACATAGTATTTTGCTCAAATTTGTCATCCATTACGTCATATTCCTACAAAACCAAGGCTGAGATTCAGAAGGCAAATACATTACAGTTTAAAATAATATTTTTTTTAGTCAAAAATATATAACAAGTGGAAACAAAAGTCCAACACCAATAATTTAGTTTTTCAAAGAAAACAAATCTAGAAGAGTTTGCACTCACATTTTGAAATATGTTTCTTCAGCACCTAAACATTGATTGATCTAGTATTTAAATCATATCATATAAATAATCCTATCACAGAAGTATCCTGCTGAAGTCTGTAAAGTGTAAGCAAAACTTCAAGAACACAAGTCTCAGTTCATCACCACAAAAAACTGTAAAACAACATGGAATTTAAATTTCAGCTCTCTGCTGAAGCTACAAGCTTTCTTGCCTTATTACTATTTCTCTGCTGCCTGTTTCGACGAAAAAGGGGAACTGACACCAAGGCGAAACCTCCCCAGCCATCTGGTTCTTGGCCTGTTTTTGGCCATCTACATCTTCTAGGAGAACTTCCTCACATAACTTTGGGAAAATTAGCAGATAAATATGGTCAAATCTTTATGATCAAGCTTGGTGTCCACCAAGCTTTGGTTGTGAGCACAGCAGAGATGGAAAAAGAGTGCTTAGGTGGCACCAATGACAAAGTATTCTTAAACCGTCCCAAGAAAATCTTTGTAGAGCATATAGCTTACAATGGTGCCATGTTAGGCTTAAGCCAATATGGCTCATATTGGCGTGAGATGCGTAAAATTACCACTGTCGAGGTACTGTCCACCCATCGGGTGGAGATGTTTAAAAATGTCAGGATATCTGAGGTAAGATCGGCGATGAAGAGTATATCAGTTGTCAGGTCTGAATTAACAGACATGAAACAATGGTTTACTGATATAAGCATGAATACTATTGTAAGATTAGTTTCAGGCAAGTCATTGAAGGAATTTTATCAAGGGGAGGAATATAATAGGCGTGTAAAGGCAATCAGGGATTTCTTTGAATTGGCAGGTGTATTTGTCCCTGCTGATGCACTGCCCTTACTGAGGTGGTTTGATATCGGAGGGTACGAGAGGAAAATGAAGAAGGCAGGAAAAGAGATTGATCATATAGCTCAAAGGTGGTTGGATGAACATAGAAACAGAAGCTCTGAAGAGGCACAAGGAAAGCTGGACTTCATGGATGTGATGCTTGGTATTTTCGAGTCTGGACAGGAAAAGCCTTCCAAATATGAAACAGATACAATTATCAAAGCCACTTGCATGGTAAGAACTTCTACACACGCATTAAAATCAATTTTTATATTATGAAATATCAGTGTCGGATTAATTCTTGAACAATCTAATGTTATGACAGGAATAAAAATTATAATAAAAAAAATATCTGAATTTATTTTGAAATGTTTAATTTGGGAAAAAGAGCAATTCTTATACAGTTGTTAGAGGTGATTACAGGTCAGGGAGTTCGGCTGATTGATAAAAAGGAACTAATATACAGATCTATGTTTAATCTTGAAACAAAGTGATATTAGAGCTAATCCATACATTGCTAACCAAGTAAGGACATAATACAGCTTATTGTCAGGCATAAAAATCTGTAGTGAGATAATAATGGGCCATTGCGAACACTACTTGATATCACTGTCTAGCCCCCTCTTAACAGATTCCATCAAATTTTATAGCTGTTCAAATGTGAGATGAGATATTTTCAAACATTAATTATTTTCTTTTACTTGGAAGGCGTTGATTTTAGCAGCAGCAGACACCACAGCAGTAACCTTAACATGGGCATTATCATTGCTACTCAACAATAAAGATATCCTGAAGAAGACTCAAGTTGAACTAGACACGATAGTGGGAAGCGAAAGGCAGGTGGAAGAGTCAGACCTCAAGAATTTAGTCTACTTGCAAGCAGTTCTCAAGGAGACTATGAGACTATACCCTGCTGCACCCCTTTCAGTCCCTCGCGAAGCTATTTCAGATTGTATCGTGAGTGGTTATAATATTTCAGCTGGGACACAACTCTTTGTCAATCTTTACAAAATACACAGAGATCCAAGAGTGTGGTCAGACCCATTGGTTTTTCGTCCGGAAAGGTTTCTCACAACTAGTGAAAACTATGATGTTAGAGGCCAAAGTTTTGAATTTATGCCTTTTGGAAGTGGAAGGAGGATATGTCCTGGTATATCTTTTGCCCTTCCTGTCATGCAGTTTACACTAGCTAATTTATTCCATGGATTTGACATCTCAACTCCATTGGATGAAGCTGTCGACATGACTGAGGGTTTTGGACTAACCAACCTCAAAACTACACCACTTGAGGTCATTCTCACCCATCGCCTTCCTTCCAACCAGGGGCGGATCTAGGGGGGGTTCAAGGGGGTTCATTGAACCCACAGATTTTTTGAAAAAAAATTATAAGTTTTAATTTTTTTTTTTAAAAAAAAAAAGAAAAAGGGTTAATACAAATTTCTGTGAGAATAATAATCACATGGGTAAGTTTGGTGCATTGGTAAGGCTTTGAATAATAGAGCAGCGCGCCCTTTTAATGTCTTAGGTCTTAGGTTCGACTCCTATTGCCCTCTTTTTTTGTACTTTTTTTTTTTTTTTTTTGTTCTTTTACTCCTTACATTCAGATTTCAGAAATCAAACATCGACATTTCTTATTTTCCCCAAATTCCCAAACACCAAAACCCTAACCTTGACACCCTATGACCCTAGCCAGTAGCCACTAGCCGCCGCGACACCGCACACCGAGACACCAACCGGCGACCGGGAGCACTGACGACCTCACGGAGTGACGGAGACACGGACGAGGGACGACTGTTCTTAATTCAGACTTCAGAGTTCTTCTACAATTGTGAGTCCTCTTAATCTCTTATTCCTCTACTCCTATTAATTCTTAATCTTGGTTTGCTTGTTTTATTTTTTAAATTGGTTTATGGTTTTGATATATTGTTGAATTCTTGAATTGTTGAGAAATTGAATTGTAGAAACTTAGAAGTTAGAATTAAAAAAAATTTACTTGTTTTTTTTTTTTGAAATAAAATTTTTACTTGTTCTATTAATTGAAATTTGATAATTAGAAGAAGTTTATATTGTCGAATTTGTGTTTATTGGGGACTTGTGATTTTAATTGATAATTAATTGTGTATTATGTAAAAAATAAGTTGCGGAATAGTACGGGTGATCAACTATTGAATGATAGTTTAGTTACTTATCTTGAGAGAGACTTAATTGCAAGAGTTAGTGATGATGATGTATTAGCACGCTTTCAAAGTAGGAAAATTCGAAGAATGCTTTTGTAGGTTTTTTTTTATTTTTTTTATTTTTTTTATTGTGTAATTCATCCGTGATAAAAATTTGATTTATGTATTGAATTTTTAATCAAAATATGATCATCGTTTTTTTTTTTTAAGATTTCGAACCCACAGTTCGGAATTCCTGGATACGCCGCTGCTTCCAACCTTACTTTATTCAAGTCAATTTGAGTCCAGGATTTTCCCAAGATTGCTCAGAAAGTAGCATTCTACATTCAGCTAGTTTGTTAACAGCAAGCAGCTTCTCATGGAGAGTCATTGAAACATGCACAGAATCCTGTGCATTGTAACAAATTTAATTAGTTAAATGCTTGTACATGTAACTCATATATTTAGAAAGGAGGACTAATTAGTATAGAGTTACAAATTTTGGGGGGTGCATGGTATAAACATTAGAATTTTTAGAAACGAAATGGAAAGAAAGCAAATAAGAGGGGAAATTATTAAGCCCTTACCTTTTCAGTTGTTTGGTTTAACTATAAAAAAAAATATAAAATTTAATTAAACTTGTGTGTTTAAGAAGGGTAATGTATTGATACCAAAGGTTATAGAGCAGTCTTAATTAGGTGGATTAGAGGGATATCAAAGGTATAAACATGAATATACTGAAATTGTAACACAATATTGTCACCCATCAATTACACAAATAAACACCAAAAAAAACATGTATAAAAATCATGCCCTAAATCATCAAGTATAATATTCCAGCAAATTTAATAATAAAACCCTAAAAATTTACTCTTGCAACAACTATACCACATTATCTCACAAAATGAACCAACATAAACAACAATATTAATTAAGAGCTAATGTGCTAAAGCCTACAAATTAAAAAAATAGAGCACAATACAAATAAAGCACAAATAAATAATACTGTATATCACAGGCAATAAATCTTATAAATCACCTTAATATATAATCTTTTTAAATTTTACCTTTCTCTTTGTTAAATTAGAGGGATATCAAAGGTAATAAATCTAATAATATGAATAAAGAAAAAAAAAACATAAAAATAGTCATCAATCCATGCACGTGTTCACCTATGCATAGCTCCAAGCCACAAGGTCAGATATTTTGAGGTTTTTCTGGCTTATTTGAATAGGTTATTGCTAATATTTGTCATCGTTTAATTTATATGTCACATGGCCCAAATACATTACAGTTAATGACAAATTTTATTTTTGTAGGGTTAGCACTGACATATTATTACCAAAAGTCCAACACCGATGATTTAGTTTGTTCCAAAGAAAGCAAAATTTAGTAGGGATGGCACTGGCATTTTAAAATTGACTAATCCATTTTTTTTTTTTTTTTACTAATCCAGTATTTTTAACCATATAATTTGAAGAATCCCATGACAGAATTATCTTGCTGAAGTCTTATAAAATAACTTCAGAAACACAAATCTCATCACCACATAAAAGCTGTAAAACAGAATGAAATTTAAGTTTCCACTACCAATTCAGCTCTCTAGTGAAGCTACAAGCCTGCTTGCCTTATTACTAATTCTCTACTGCCTGTTTCGACTAAAAAAGAGAACTGACACCAAGACAAAACCTCCCCTGCCATCTGGTTGTTGGCCTGTTATTGGCCATCTACATCTTCTAGAAAAGCTTCCTCACATAAACTTGGGAAAACTAGCAGATAAATATGGTCAAGCTAGTTTTTATGATTAAGCTCGGTATCCATCGAGCTTTGATTGTAAGCACAGCAGAGATTGCGAAAGAGTGCTTAGGCGGCACCAATGACAAAGTATTCTTAAATCGTCCTCATACAATCTTTGTAGAACATATGGGATACAACGGTGCGATGTTTGGCTTCAGCCAATATGGCCAATAGGCCCAATACTGGCGTGAGTGACACTAAGTAGGGGTCGGTTAGAATTAGCCAATTCACCATGTCGGTCGGCTACTCCGACGATACAACTCTACTCACTACAAGAAAACAAAACAGATCATTTCCGATGGAACCGTTCCGACGAATAAGAAAATCCGTCGAAAAGTACGAAATTTCCGTCGAAAATAGTATAATTTCCGACGGATTAAAAATCCGTCGTAAATTTACGACGGAATTTAATTCCGTCGGAGGTTTGTGACGGATTTTAACCCGTTTTCGACGGAATTTAATTTACAAAAAACAAGGAAAAACCCCAAAACCCTAATAATACAACGGCGCCCCAACCCCCCTCATTCACAATCCGCCTCTCTCATCTCTTCCTCTTTTGATCTTCTCCTCCCTTTCTCTCTCCTCATGCTTTCTCTCTCCTCCTCCTCCTTCTCTTCTCATGCTTTCTGTCTCCTCTCCTCCTCCTCCTTACTCTCTTCTCAGGCAAGCTCTCCTCTCTTTATGTCGTTTATGGTGATGTTAGTCAAATTAATGGTTTTTAAGGTCAAATTCGACCAGGGTTTTCGTGGTCGAATTTGGCCTTGTTAAACCAAGTCCGTGGTTAATTTCTATGTTTTTTATCTTAAGGTACGTTCTAATTTTTAATTTTGTTTTTATTTAATTTTTGGGTGATTTTCGGTGGTGGAGGATCTAAATTTGGGTGATTTTCGGTGGTGGTTGTGGTCTGGGTCGTATTATGGTGATTTTCGGTGGTGGTTGTGGCTTGGTTAGTGTATTCGGTCAGGGTGGTGTGGGTTTTGGTGGGGTTTTGTTAGGGGTGGGTAGTATGGGTTTGGTTGGGTTCGGTTAGGGGTGGTTGGGTTTAGGGTTGGGGTGGCTGGGTTTTGGGTTGGGTGGTGTGGGTTTGGTGGGGTTTGGTCAGGGATGGGTGTGGGTATGGTGGGGTTCGGTCAGGGGTGGCTGTGGGTAGAGGTTTTGGTGTGGTGTTTCGGTTAAGGTGGGTAGGTTGTGGTGTGGTTGAGAGGGGCGTTTTGGGTGGTTGGAGGTGGTGATATGTCGTGCCGGTGGTGGCACGGCGTATTTTTTTTTAATTTCCTAAAATTATTTTCCGACGGAATTTCCGTCAACAATTTTCGACGAATTTTAAATTCCGTCGGAAATTTCCGACGGATTATGCCGGTACCGAAAAATCACTAACGACGGAAATTCCGTCGGAAAAGTGTTTCCGACGGAATTTTCGTCGAAAAAGGTCATTTTTCCTACAAACACTTTTCCGATTACGACTTTCGACGGAATTAAGGGTGTTTGCGACAGATTTTTTCCGCCGGAAATGGACGAAATTCTAGTAGTGACTTATTCCTAGATATAGACACACCACTAGGAATAATTGAGAGAGGAACCTTGGATACAGTAACACCACCAAGGGTTAGGGAGATAATACTCTACCTAAGAACACTCAAAGTGTTTAATTATATTTCATGTAAAAGGCTTGAATTTTATGGGTTACAAGTATGGCTATTTATAGCCTTGATTTAGTACTATTACAACCATCAAAGTTGGACTAATTAATACAAGAACTAACTATTGTTGAATTGGGATATTGCCAACATGAACTATTGCCGACACGAGCTTCTAGACTCTTGAACCTTAACCTTGTCAAACTCCCCTTGTTAGAGAAGACTCGACCTCGAGTCTCTGCTCTTCCTCATCCTCGTAATATGGGGACAAATCAGCAACATTAAATGTAGCGGACATATTGTACGCCCCTTGGAAGCTTGATCTTGTATGCATTTTCTCCGATCCTTTCTAGGACCTTGAATGGTCCGTCAGCTCTAGGCTTGAGTTTACCATGTGTTCCTCTGGGAAACCTTTCTTTCCTTAAGTGTATCCAAACAAGATCTCCTACCTTAAAGCTAGCTGGTTTACGAAACTTGTTCGCTTGTTCTTGATAGTGTTGATTTTGTTTTGTAATTTGAGCTCGAACCTTCTCATGCAGCTTCTTGATTTCTCTAACTCGTTCATCGGCATCACCGCTAAAGTGGTCAGGAGAGGGTAGTGGAACAAGATCAACCGGCGAAGTTGGATTTTTACCATAAACGATCTTGAAAGGAATTTCACCATTGGTTTGGCTTGGAGAACAATTGTAGGCGAACTCGTCTTGAGCTAACAACACATCCCACTGTCGGATGTTCTTGCTTACAAGACTTCTCAGCATATTTCCAAGAGTCCTATTAACAACTTCATTTTGACCATCAGTTTGAGGATGTGCGGCTGAGCTAAACTGCAACTGCGTTCCTAACTTGCGCCATAAGGTTTTCCAAAAATGGCTCATGAACTTGACATCTCGATTAGAAGTGATGGTCTTTGGTATTCCATGTAGCCGTACAATTTCTCGAAAATAAAGATCAGCAATCTGCGTGGCATCATTAGTTTTATTGCACGGAATAAAATGATCCATCTTCGAGAATCGATCAACAACAACCATGATGGAATCTTTGTTGCGTTGGGTACGAGGCAACCCAACAACAAAATCCATACTGACATCTTCCCAAGGAGCGTGAGGTACCAGCAATGGTGTGTAAAGACCAGTGTTTTGACCTCGGGCTTTGGCAATATGACATGCTCGACATCGCTTGACATATCGATCGATGTCATGAACCATGTGCGGCCAATAGAAGTTTTCTTTAACAATGCCCAATGTCTTATCACGACCAAAATGGCCAGCAAGACCACCAGCATGACACTCATGTAATATCATCTCGCGTAGGGAACATCTTGGCAAGCACAATTGATTTCCCTTGAATAAGTAGCCATTTTGTCGATGAAACTGGCGTTGAGGGCCTCCTGAACAATTCTTCCAAATTTCTCCAAAATCTTCATCATCTTCATACAAGTCTTTGGGAACCTCGAAACCAATGACTTTCACTTGAAGAGTGGAGAGCAAGGCATGTCTTCTACTTAAGGCATCATCAACCTTGTTTTGCGTCCCGGATTTGTGCTTGAGGACAAAGTTGAAGGGAGATAAGAAATCGCTCCATCTTGCATGACGACGTTGGAGTTTTTGTTGGTTGTGAAGATGCTTTAGTGATTCGTGATCTGAGTAGAGCACAAACTCTTTAGCAAAAAGATAGTGACTCCAATGATCTAAGGCTCGTACAATTGCATAGAACTCCTTCTCATAGGTTGAGTACTTGCACCTTGATTCATTGGGTTTCTCACTAAAGAAAGCAATTGGTCGTCCTTCCTGGATGAAGACTGCACCTAAACCAACTCCCGAAGCATCACAATCTACCTCGAAAAGCTTATCAAAATCTGGCAAGGCAAGAATTGGTGCATGGGTGGTCATAATTTTCAACTTCTCGAAGCTTTGTTGAGCTGCTGGGGTCCACTCAATTTTCTCCTTCTTCAGTACTTCAGTGACCAACTGAGCGGGGCGGCAATAGTGCTGAAATTTTTGATGAATCGGCGGTAGAAGGATGTTAGACCATGAAAGCTGCGAACATCATGTATTGATTGAGGAACTGGCCATGTGTTGATGGCTTCAACTTTGCTAGGATCCATCTCGATCCCATTGCTAGAGACAACATATCCAAGAAATACCACTTTGTCGGTTAGGAAGTGACATTTCTTTATATTGGCATACAACTTTTGTTCACGAAGAGCTTGGAAAATTTGTTGTAGATGATTTATATGCTCTTCAGAATTTCGACTGTACACAAGAATATCATCAAAGTAAACAACTACGAACTTGCCAATGAAAGGGCGTAAACCTTATTCATCAGTCGCATAAAGATCCTAGGAGCATTGGAAAGACCGAACGACATGACCATCCACTCATATAATCCATCCCTGGTCTTGAAAGCAGTCTTCCATTCATCTCCAGGTCGCATTCGGATTTGATGATATCCGCTTCGTAGATCAATCTTTGAGAACAAAACAGCATCATGCAATTGATCAAGTAGATCATCGAGGCGCGGAACGGGAAAACGATATTTGATAGTGATCCGATTAACGGCACGACTATCAATGCACATGCGCCACGATCCGTCTTTCTTTGGGACTAGAAAAGATGGAACTGAGCATGTACTCACACTTTCACGTACCAATCCTTTTTGCATGAGATCAGTGACTTGTCGTTGAAGCTCTTCATGCTCTTTTGGACTCATTCGATAGGCAGCCTTATTGGGGATGATTGCTCCAGGAACAAAGTCGATGCAATGTTGAATATCACGCATTAAAGGTAAACCTTCAGGAATTTCTTCCTGCACAATGTCACTAAATTTGCGAAGTAGAGGATGGATCTCGTCCGGTATTCCTTGATCTTCTTGATTTTCTTCGAGCATGACTAGAACACAAGCAACATTGGATTCTTCCAAGGCCATTGTAAACATTGGTTCTGACACAACAGAGCTCTTCTCTTGGCTTGGCTTTGCTAGCAAATCCCTTTTTAGAGGTGCTAACACAATTTTGATACCATCATTTTCAAAGGAATAAGTATTATGAAAGCCATCATGAATTGCACGACGATCATACTGCC